CGTACGGTGTGTGGTCATCTGTGNAGAAAAGAAAGAAAGAAAAGAGAAAGAAAGGAAAGAAAGAAAGAAAGAAAGAAAAAAAAAAGAAAAGAAAAAGAAAGAAAGAAAAGAAAAGAAAAGAAAGAAAAGAAAAGAAAAGAAAAAGAAAGAAAAGAAAGAAAGAAAGAAAAGAAAGAAGAAAAGAAAAAAAAAAAAAAAGAAAAGAAAAGAAAAGAAAAGAAAGAAAGAAGAAAGGAGGGAGGGGGAGAGAGATATTTTCGGTCTTTATGCCATAGTCATAACCATCTTAATTGAACAGCTTTTCATTTAAGTATTCATTCAGACTCCATAATCAAATATAAATCCCTTAGTACTGAATTGAATAAGTTTCCCAAACTAACTATAAAAAGGGGGCTTCCATTTTTGTAATATTGCAAGAACTACAATAAAAAAAAACGAAACATGACCTATTACCTCTGAATGTTACCTGACAAACATGTTACATATAAAATCATATACACTTCAGCACTCACATGACGGATAAACATAAGTGTCATATTTAGTTTAGCAATTCTTAAAGATCCTATCTGCAATGTAATCAGTTTTGTGTGTCCTGATGCTGTAATTAGAAATAAACACACAGCCATAGTTTCCTTTTGAAATACAAGTTTTTAACTATTACGAGCCCTGAATCCCACGCAACTGGAGGCGGCAAATATACAGAGGGAGGTTTCATTAGCCCCAGTATAAACATAAAAGGTTGGCCTATTAGCAGTTAACTCTCACTACTACTCTTCATGATTTCAGTAACAATGACATCTATCACCGATCTACCTTTCCGTTTCTTCTTCATCTGTTCTTCCATAATGCCTTAGTCATTCTCACTAGTTTCACTAACTCAAAATGCCGTAGTCCATCCCCTCCTTTGACATAAGCAGGTCAGATTTAAGTATGGTTTAAATAAGGTATAGATTAATAGACCTTGCATTTTGAGTTGCATCCAAATTAGGGTGACCTTTTAGAATATACAGTTCTGAATTCAAAACAGTCATTTGTTTGTCCATGCTATTGACTTGAAGAGAGAATATTTTCAAGTTTCACAGGATTTTAATTCTACAAGAGGCCATACAGCTATGGGCCTCACAACGTCTAAATCTCACCCTGAACACACTCGGTGACTTACCTGTGCCGCTGCAGAAGAGGTTTGCCCTCAAACTTGGGCGAAACCACTACCACGTTGAACTTGGCTCCACACCCATCACTCATGTCCTCCACAGACTACCAAAGAGAGAGAGAGAGAGAAAGAGGAGTTTAATGAACCTGTACCTTTCACTCTTACACACATTAAAAACATATAACATTTAGCAGTACTGCACTAAACTTTTCCTACTGAATGGCTTCATCTAGGAACATATGGTAGCTTAGTAGGGGAGAGTAAACTGATGACTTTAATCAGTGTCAGATGTACAATATATTACACATCAAATTTATAAGACAATAAAAAATGTAATATTTCTCATTAATTTACTAGTCACTTCAATCCTTTGGTACTTAGCAGTAAGCATTTCTTTTTAATAAAGAAAAAAAATCTTATAAAGAGTAGTGTACCCTTTATTTTTACTCCTATTAGTTTAATGTAAGATAAAATCAACATTATATAGCCTTCAAACAAAAATACACATCAATTCTCTTCACAATTAATATTTGTCCCCATTCCTTATAACATGAAAGAAAAATATCTTATTATTTCCTTGAGCAATCTTTTGAAAATGATTTCTTTGTTTTCAATGTTTCAATTCTTCTTTTCTCACACTGAGATATAATTACATTTTCTAATCTTCTTATTATGTATCAACATACACTAAGTGATATATGTTAACACTATAAAGTTCCCATGTAGAAACTGACTAACATTTATTATGTTTGTGATACCCTTGTAACAATGCACAATCTGTTTTCTATGACCTGTCAAATGTATGCCCTAGCGGTGATGTATGTAACCCTTCTTGGCTTAGCAACAATAAAGAAGTAGAAGAGAGACACTCTACAAAGCCTACCATAAACGGGTTTATCCAAGACTTTTTGATCCCTACTTTGGTGAATGAGGATGGTAGATAACGTGGCGCATATAAGGTAATTGTAAATCCACAATTGCAGGTCGTACAACATGCTCTGCCAAAGATATGTTAGCTGCCATAGGTGATTGCAAATAATTTTCAAAGATTGACTTAAAATCTGCATTTTTACAACTAATGATGGATGATAAATCACAAAGGATTTGTATTCTTAGCACTCACTTAGGGCTGTTCAGGCCAAAAAGACTGCCTTTTGGAATAGCATCAAGTCCAGCTATATGGCAGCAAACCATGGACAAAATATTCATGCTTTACCAGGAGTATATTGTTTTGTAGATGACATTTTGATTGCAGGAATGGAAGAAAAGGAACATCTAGAAAAATTACTAGCTGTTTTAGATAAGATCAAAGGAAATTGAATGAAAAGACACAAAAATAAAAATCATTTTTTTGTAAACTCCCTGGAGTACTTAGGTTTCAAAATTGATGGTGAGGGTACCCATAAAACTGGTGACAAAATTGGGGCAGTTAATTGTGCCAAAGAGCCAGAGAATGTCAAAGAACTACAGTCATTCCTAGGGTTAGTAATATTTTATGGTAAATTGGTAAAGAATCTAGCCATCACTGCTAGCCCACTGTATAATCTGACCTTGAAAGAAGTTCTGTGGAAATGGTCAGTAAAATGTCAGGAAACTTTTGATAAGATTAAATTTGAAATAACAGATGAAACATTTCTGGCACACTACAACAAGGATATGCCTTTAAAATTGGTGTGTGATGCATCACAAGTAGGGTTAGGTGCAGTATTGACACACGTTATGGAGGATGGTACTGAAAGACCCATTGCTTTTGCTTCAAGACTGCTGAACAAGGCAGAACAAAATATTCTCAGATAAAAAAAGAGGGACTGGCATATGGTGTTAAGAAGTTCCACATGTACCTGTATTGTAGAAAGACCTTTACATTAGTAACAGACCACAAACCACTGTTAGCTCTCTTAGGCCTAAAAAAGAGTCTGCTGGAGCTAGCAGCAGCTCATCTACATAGATGGTCAATAACCCTGTCTATAATTACGACATAGAGTATGGGTCAGCATCAAAGATGGGGAATGCAGATGCTCTGTCTTTACTACCAGTAGATCAGGCTACAAGTGTGATCATTGAGCATTTTGTTAGTTGACGCATGTGAGCTGCTGATTACATCAAAACTAATTGCAAATGAAACTAAGAGTGATCCCATATTATCAAAGGTTTTAGTGTCTGGCATTATATGATAAAGATGTATTGTTTGAGCAATGATACAAACCATTTTTAGATGTGTGGTCTGAATTGTCAGTGGTATTGGATTGTATAATGAAAAATACCAGGGTAGTAATTGCAGACTGACTGAAGGGTACGATTCTTGCGGAGTTGCATGCTGAACACCAAGGTACTGTTCGCTCAAAGGCTCGTACTTTTGTGTGGTGGCCTGGTATTGAAAATACCATCATGACGTATTTAAGAAATTGTGAGGGATGTGCATTTCAGCAAAACAATCGAGCTCCATATAAGACACGTCCTTGGGAGACACCTAGTACTCCTTGGCAGAGATTACACATTGACTTTGCAGGTCCTTTTCGAGGTCACACTTTCCTGATTGTAATGGACTCATTTAGTAAGTGGCCTGAAGTTATACCAATGACCTCTACAACTGCATATAGCACCGTGGGAGTGCTATTGTCTCTGTTTGCAACCCATGGTATACTTGAGCAAATGTTGGGACAACGGACCTCAATTTATTCCAGGTGAATTTTTGCAAGGGGAACAACATCAAGCATATTCGTAGTGCTCCATATCACCCCGCAACCAATGGTGAAGCAGAGATTTGTACAGACATTCTAAACTAACATGAAATGTAGAGGCAGTAGCAAATCTAGTCTCGCCACTAGTATAAATAGGTTTCTACAATCATACAGAACCACTCCTCAAGCGACCACAGGTTGTTTGCCTTCATTTCTATTGATGGGGAGGAGAGTAAGATGTATGTTAGATACAATGAAACCATAAATAGCTGAGGAACAAAAGAGTAAACCCTTGAGTGTGAAAGATTATAGAGAATTGGAGATAAGGTATTGATAAGATCATATACTTCTTCAAAGGAAAAATGGGTTGAAGGACAAGTGGTACAAAGGCTGGATAGATTGCATTATATGGTAAAAGATCATGATGGCAAAGAGATGAAAAGGCACATTGATCAACTGACAACATCACATCTAAAGGAGGATGTAATCATATTTCCTTCTATACAACAGGATCAGCCAAAACAGCAGGAAAATAAGGAAGTTAAGGTAGACCAGGAGAATGTGCCTTTTCAGATGTCTAAAAACAAAAAGCTCCCGCAAAGGTCTACCAGAAATAAATTTCCGGTTAGACATGTTGACATTGTGATATTATGTACTTATTTAGTGTGCTTTTGTTTCTCAATAATAATATTATCTTCCATAAGGGGGAAGGGTTATGTATTAAAAGACACAAAATGATATATGTTATTAATACTGCAAAGTTCCTATGTAGATACTGACTAGCATTTATTATGTTTGTGATACCCTTGTAATGACATGCAATCCGTTTTCTATGCCCTGTCAAATGTATGCCCTAGCGGCGATTTCTGTAACCCCTCTTGGCTTATCAACAATGAAGAAAAGACATAGAAGAGACTCTCTCTACAAACTCTAGAATAAACGGGTTTATCCAAGACTTTGTGATCCCTACTTTGGCGAACGAGAATGGAGATATTGAAGCGCATATCATATGATTACAGGTGAGAGATAAAGTGATGTTATACTGTTTGGGAGATAGATGAGAACATCCCCAACACTTGTAAAAACTTTTATTTGATTCAAAATGTCTTAAAGATCAGTATCATGCTTCTGGAGATGTTTGATCTGATTCCAACTGGACAAACTAAACACCAATCTAATAAAAAATCATGTTGGATCTCCATAATGTTCTCTTTTGTAAGCTATTCTGATGTCAGATCTTCTCAGCACTTGGAAGATTACCAGTATTTAACATGTATTATCACAATAAGTTGCTATGAAGAACTAATCACGGTTCCTCTTTCACACATATGGGAAAATAAAAGAATACCAATGAAAAATGAAACACTTTAATGAAAAAACAAAACAAAAAAATTTCCAGTCACTGAAACTAGTTGTCACAATAACAATGTTTCCTTCTATATATGACTGTAAAGATTGTGTATCTCCAATAATTTTCCATGAAAGAGGAGAAGCATGTGGAATCTGATCATTCTCTGTTAAACATGTGAAAAAAAAAAGAGGAAAAGGAAGAAAAAGAGGAGGAGGATGGAGAAGAATGGAGATACACAGAAAGAATGAAAGAACAAAAGGAAAATAAAATGGCGAAGGAGAATTGTAAAAATAGGGTCCTTCCAGTTAGCCTTGCAAGGAATTCAATGCATAAACCTTTTGACCAACAACTTCAATGAAACTTCACTTTCTGGGAAAATAAATCATTGTCTATTAATAGAAAAATAGAGACTTAAAATCACTGGCAGTAAAGGAATGGTTCTGAAATGTCTATGATAGAAGTTGCACATCTTTTCCTCTTTGGGCAAGTGTACCTAACACACTCACAAGTGCACTTAAATAGGGACAAAAGAAAGAAAATTGATAGCAGGTAACAAAAAGTGGAAGGTAATGGCTCATGGACTCCCAAATATTATGTAGTAAAGGTAACTAAAAATATAGTTCAAACTGATAAAGCATACATTCTTATACCAAAATACATGAAAATAATTTCATTCTGCAAACAAGATGGATTTCACTCAACCAAGCAAATTCTATGCTAGGACATCAAAATTCAAACAATAAATATTTTGTGAAAAAAGAAAAGAGAAAAAAAGGATTAGACTATGAGAAAAGAACCAAATATACATATCAATATAACCAAACACACTCTTCAAATATGAAATATTACTACAACCGACAAGGAAAACACAAATGAATGATTTAGTAAGTTGGGATCAATGTAAATACACTAGGAATCTATAATCATATAAAAGTCTAACAGTAATATGTATTATCACATCATTTCAATCTTGTACTTTTATAATGAAATTGATGATTAACATTTATATATCTGTATATAACTATGTATATAACTACTAATCAAAACAATGCAACCTCTGGCCATTGCCCCTATATGCAAATTGCTAACATACCTAACTCTGACCTGAAATCTAATCAATCATAAAACATGCGACCCTGCCAAGAAACTTCTAAACCAAAATCAAAAAAAATATAAATATACAAAACAGGAAAGTCAACAACGTACAACATCTAACAATTCTTTATTATATTAATTGGTCCTGCGAAAACAAACATTTAATGCACCAGACCAGACCTTTAATGTCTACCATACCGAGTTGTGAACTGGCGGTAGTGAAAATAGCAAGTGAAGAAGCAGTAATGAACACAAGATACAATAGAAAGCAAAACTGGGAAGAGATCAGGTAACCTTGGAGGCGGTGCCACTGTCAAGGACACTACCGTCAAAAATGAGAATCCAACCAACGAGAGGTAAAAGGACCTGTTGATCCAGCGCCAAAACTCACTATATCTGGTCCTCGACTGTCCCTCTGACTGTCTGTTGATTGAGTACATAACATAAACAAGGACAGTTAATGCAAGGGTTGGTATTGTCAGCCCATCCTTCACCAGAAGGGGTAACATGCTGATAACGGACACAATGAAGAACCAGGTAACCATAAAGGTTTCATCTCCATATAAAAAGCAAGCAGGTACTGCTGCCAACAAGATGCTCTTTTCATGAACATGGTAGCTTAGGAGGAAAAACACAAGAGATGCATTAACAAGTCCATAATGAAGATTCTTCTGAGTGGGATTAATGAAGATGTGCAAACTTGATGGAATCATACACACTACAGTGGACAGCAAACATATCAAAGCCATGTTGGTATTGCTCACAAGATTTTTCAGTTTAATAAGAATGGATAAACTGCACCAAACACTGGCTACCTTGTCCTCAAAGAGACCTCTATTAATAGGGAAAAGTCGGTTAAGTACTTGCAAAAATATTTCCGGATCCTTGAGAAAGGGAGCCCAAACTAGAGCAAAGGTTAATATCACACACAAGCCAATCTTGGTGATCTTAAAGAAAAATCCTAAAATTCCTCCTTGTTTGAAGCACAGACCCAACAGGTAGAAAAAAATTGGAAGTGCATGATACAACTCCATTTGCTTGTAGTTCAAAGCTAGAGAAAACAAAACTGACCCAATACAGTCATATCCCTTCATGAGAGCTGCAACGGCACCCACAAATATTCCTAATGAAGCATTGTTATACTGAAAATGACCATAATCTATCAAGTACAAACCAGGATAAAGAATCAGAGCCATATACTCTAACTTCCCACTTCTACTCCTTGGCCGAGATGCAGCACACAGAAAGAGATAAGCTGCTGGCATGTATATCAGGAGATCTACAACAAAGACTGTGTATCTCATAAACAATTTGTGTTCGTAACTTTCATATCCACGAGATGTATGGAGTTCGACAAACTCGGGATTCAATGTCTTGGCTACAATGCCACACAGATAGCTATGGTAAGCAGTAAGCGGAGGGTAATCCAGGCCCCAGTAGAGCAAATCATTATCGGTGGTATTCATATACCAATCCTTCAGGGGCAAATTCACCGTCACTTCCTGCCAATGGCGCTGAGCCTCATAATCTCCAAACATTGGGGCTTTTCCTGCCCCAGAGTATGGATGCAGCGACACACACCATCTCAGCAGTATCCCAAGAAGGGTAATTAAAATAACATTGGCCATTTCACTGGTGTAGCTTCCAAGCCCACAGGCGAGAAATGCAACTCAATGTATTGTGTGTTCTTGTTCAGCAGTTGTCAATCACAGACAGTCCTTCCTCGGCAGTGAGCAGATAGTCCAGCGCTGCGTCCTTAGCTGATGTGAAAACTGACAGCCTCATCAACACTCCCACTCCTCCTAGAACACAAACAAAAAATCAGTGGATGGTTAACGAGGTCTAATGACCAGGAACTAATTAATCACTAGTGTTTCAATAGCAATGACCTAAAACATTTAGCCATGAAATTTTTGAAGACTTAATACTGGCTGATTAATGCCAATCCACTGATAGTTTGTTTGTTTCTGGGCCTAGGAGTATAAAAGAAATGACAGGAAATCTGAGAAATAGTTTGCAAAAAAATACTTGCACTTATAATGGTTAGCTACTTCTTCAGTCTCTTGAAACTAATCTAGTAAATAAATAAAGAATTGCAACTAAACATTCAAAAACAGCAAATGAAATGCCATGAATAGTGCATGAATCTGATATCAATAGGATAATAAAATAACTAAGTAGCTCTGTAAAGGAAAAGGTAAAGGTAAAGATATTGAAGGGAAGGAATGGGAGAAGGAGGGAAGGGAAGGGAAGGAATGGGAAGGGAGAAGGAAGGGAAGGGAAGGGAAGGGAAGGAAGGGAAAGGGAAGGGAAGGTAAGAAAAGGAACAAAAATCAATGCAAACAAAGCTACAAGCTACAAGCATTTTAATGAGAAATTTTCACTAGCTACACATCATCTTTTGTCAAAAGATGAAACCTTCTGCACATGAATATAATGTCTTTTCAATGTAATTTAGGTCCGTAATCCCATTTGGTCACTAAAATATACAGTACAGGAGAATCATACTCTTCAAAAATACCGTTCCACAGTATTTTTTGCTATATTTTTGCTATATTTTCCCAAGATTTTCATTAGAATTTCTGTTGCAATGCCATAATCATAAACATCAATTACTAAGATAGACTGGTAATCTACTTTCATCGGCCACTGTGTACCTCAGCTTTCAATATGTGACTTTTCTTGCAATCAGAGTGGACATTTTTCATCCACTTGAAACTCATGACCTGTAACAAAGAGTCTTCAATCTCTATAATCTATAATAATACCAAATTGTGGTATAATGTCAAGTACCTGTCACAGCTTCCATATCTTTGGCACTCTTATAAAGAACAAATAACATTCCACCTCAAATATTCTGGCAAAACTGATACTGGACCGATTCCTTATTTATTGATCAATCACCTTAGCATCTACTAAATACCTGAGCATTCATGGCAACTATTTAAAATAAGACTGCATAAAGCAACGCCATGGCTTCTGTGCTTGGGCTCTGACAAAGCCAACAAATCTCCGCAATAGAACTTGGGTTGGTTCGTCATTTGATTATAAATTGCCAGGTCAGTTAATAAGTTCTAATCTTAACAGAATAACATGGAGACTTGCTCGCCATTTCTTGACTGTGAAGCAGGTTCAAAAGTGTGGCTTAACATTACTTTTGCCAATTAACTTTCCTTCCTCTTTTTTGTGTAACTTCTAAATTATTCATTTATTCTTTCCATCATAAAGAAGCTGTACTTTGGACAGTTACCACAGTCTTTGAAAAGGCAAAATCTTTTATCTATCATTGCTACCATAAGTCTATCTAAATCCATATGAAACGCTACAGAGAGAGACAGCTGTATATCAAGCAACCGCTGCAGCCTAAGCACCTGGCGCTCAAGCAAAGGCCAACAAATCACCTCGTCCACCCATGTACCGACTGGCTTCTTTTCTTTTAGGCTCGTTGGCCTTTGCTGGAGCTAAAGGCACGGACTGCGACTGGCAGAAGCACGAGTGTGGCGCATCGACCAATGGCTGAAACGTGGCCGCCTTTTTGCCAAAACCCCCAAGACAGGTCAACAACACGGATGCACAGACCAAATATTTTCCATATTAATGAAATAAAAAAAGAAATACATATATTTACCATGACCCAAAAATTAGCATAAAGCAAAGTGGCAAACACCATAAAATAGAAATACAAGTCCAAAAGTGTGACAGAATGTGGCCCAACACTGG